TTTAAAAAAAACTGAACTGAACTGAACTGTTGTAAAGTTGAACTGTACTGAACTATAAAAACTGAACTGAATTATAAAAATTGAACTATTTTTATAAAAGAATAAAAATTAAATATGTTTAACATGTTATGTCTTAATAGATTAGCTCGATAGTCTAATAACCAAAATTTTAGAAAAAAAAGTGATTTGAAAAAAAATTATATCAATTTTGTTGAACTTAACGGATCAATTGAGCTATGTTGAACTACTTATTTTTAGGCTTAAAATTCACTGAGTTTGTTTGACTTAATTTTATATTTTTTTCCTTTGAAAAATTTAAATAAAATAGAAAATAAAGTAAAGTTGACAAATGTGTCCTATTTTGATATATCAATGAGTCAAAATTGTTCAATTCAAAATATCATAACAGTTTAGTGCAGTTTAAATTGCAGTTCAGTTCAAGTTTTTATAGTATAGTTCAGTTCAGTTCAATGACACAAAAGAATAGTTCAGTTCAGTTCGTCTGAACTAATATTTAATTTAGTTCAGTTCATATGAACTACTTTTAAGTTCAGTATAGTTTTTATAGGTTCAGTTCAGTTCAGTTTGTTTTGTCCACCCCTAGTTAAAATATAACCCTTAGATTAATCAAGTGAGAGAAAATTTGGGATTTAATCTAGTAAAAGAAAATTAATCTAAAGGTTATATTTTAACTCTCTCATCTCTCATAATAAATTCTCTCTCACTTGATATGCTCCATATATATATATATGAATGGTAATTTAAAAGACATATATATTTTATAATCGATGCATGAGAATGGAAAAAACTATTATTATAATGAATTGGTTGAAATATAAGTCACACTAAGTTTTTTTTTTTTTTTTTTTGAAACATAAGTTGAAAAAATGTTAAACTAGAAGATATAAACTATAATTGTTCATTAGATAAATCATTTGAAAAATCCTAATACATAAACTAAAATAAAGCCGGTCATAAATAATCAATTAAATCCTGCTATTGTGTTTTAGAATTCTATTTAAAAAATTAATAATATATTTTTATTAAAAAATACATTAGAAATATGCTAAAAATTATTATAATTATGTATTAATAAGATTTTATGATATTTTTTTACTTTAATTCTTTAATTAAAACTGATGAGCATTTAATTAATTAATTTAAGTGTTAGGTTGTCCTCGATAAGCTAAAAATGTAAAGAAGTTACTCATAAACCAAAAAACAAAAGAAAAAAAAATCACATTAATTAAGAATATTAGCTAATTTTATTTAATTTTCAGAATCTCATTTGAAAAATGAACTTCATTCCCTGAATTTCCCTTCATGTTAATTGATAGTAGAAAAGAGAACTTTAATTTTACGTGATCTTGTTTCAAATAGGATATTCTGTTTTCATACACAAAACAATTATTTCTCCATTTTGAACTTTACCTGGTTAATACCATGAGAAACAAAATAATCACTAAAAATAAAATATAAATTAAATAAAAGGTATCATGAAAAGTATTTTATTAAATACAATAAAATTAATTAAGATTTGCTGTTTTTTTTCTTTCCATTACATTGGATTCAAGAGGATTCAATGCGAATAAAGTTTATCGTGTTCAAATTAAAATCATAGAAGTGGAATACTCTATTTTTTCTTTTTTTACAATCATTAGGTCCATTGTTCAAAAAATGATATTACAAAGTTAAATGGATACTTCTACAAATGGATAATTAATTATTAAAATCTTTCTCTTTTTGCAAGAATAATTGGTCTTTTAAGTTGAGAGATACCTATGAAACAACTTGGAAAGACATGGCAAAAATACTCAGTCAAAAGTCAAAACAAACAAATGTTGTTGATGTTAAAAATATTCAATGCTAATTTTCCAAAAGAAGAAAGAGAAAAAAACCATAGAGTCCCTTGAGAAGCAATGGAGCTAAGTTAATTTTTGTTTTTAGTATTTTATTGATTATTTCTAGCTGGACACAATCTGGACAAATAGAAAAGTGATGCTGATTTCACATTGAATTGCAGAGGTTTTCGGGTAGTCCAAAAGCCAATATGGGCCTAGTCAATAAGTCAAGCCCATTTCTATCGGCCACTCCATTACTTCCTTCAATCTTGTAACTATATACACTTTTTTTTTTTTCTCTTGAAAATACTTAATTATTTTTTTTCTTCATGATATGATTTACCAGTGTTTCACATTTCTACATTCATGGTGTGATTCTCACTAATTAAATATTATTTTAATAAAATCAAAAATCAAACTTAAGAATATCAAATTGATTAATATGTGACCTCACATTCTTACAACCATAAGTCAAAGGTAACATATTTTAACTATGAAGGCAAGCAAGAAAGCAATTTGTCCAAAAATAACTTGGCAAGTCTTCAATTTCTTCTACAGAATCACTAGAACAAGATATTTTAATATCTAATATTGTAGTAAAAAATAAAATAAAATCCGGAACAACTTAACATTTACAAAACTAATACTAATAAAAAATACTTTTAACTTTTATGTACTTTTACAGCAATTTTTTTTTTTTATAATTTCAACTAAATAAAATTATCTAAAATATAGATTTTAAAATAATTTTTATAAAATTAATAAATATATATTGGATGATTTATCCAACCATTACATTTTAATTAAATTTTAAGGAGTAAAGTACAATCTGGACGAGGAAATGGAAGTATTTAACAATCTTTTACGCTAAATTATTCTTTCAGTTTTATTTATTTATTTAATTAGTTCAATTTTCTATTGTTAAAAATTTCCATCTGGTTTCTTAATGTTAAAAAACAATATAATGTTGTTATTTTCGTCTCATTGAAATAAACAATGTTAATTACATAAGTGACACAACACAATAAAAAAAAAACTAACTTGTTATGCAGGACAAATTTTAGTATTTTTAAATTTTAATGGCGTTGACAGAAAAAATGATATTGCATCATTCTTTTGACAATTAAGAAAGCAAATTAATTTTTTAATAATGAACACATGAAGCGATTAAGGTGGTAAAAGTAATTTAGCCTAATTTTGAAGAAACTATGGGAAACATAAAAACAAGACAAGAAAAAGCGTTGTGAATGTGAGAGTTTGTAGTTTGCCTTGCCTTGCTTCGTTGTCGTTTCGCCGGCCAAAGACACAACATTTCGTGCCGTTTTAGTGTCTGCTTCGGACATCTCACACAAACACAACTCTCTCTCTCTCTCTGTTTGATTTGATAATTCAAGATGAACGACCTTCTCACTGTAAGTTCATATCTGTATTTCCCTCTTTCGATGCCAAAATTCGATTTTGATCACTGGGTCTTCTAGTTCTCTTGCTCAAGTTTCTGTTTTTCGATTCCAATTTTCTGCTTTCTCACTGTCAGATTCGATACTATGTTTTCATTTTAATAATTAAAAAAAAAATCAACATTAAGAGAGGCCCAATTTCTGGCCTTGAATTCTAGTGGGAGACGAATTGGAATCATTAAGCCTTAAAATTCAGTTCATCGTTGAATCTATGTTGGTAGTGGAAAGTTTCATAAAGGCTGTGTCTGGCTTTAACTCGGATCATAGTTGATCCCCAATTAGATTTCAGTTGGTAATGTTTTTGGCATAAGTTTTGGTGTTTGGATTTATTCTGATAGTGATTTTGGTGTTTTTGTTTTGTTTGATAACTGTTAATTTGACGTGGATTAAGTTTAGTACAATTTTGTTGTGTTATAAGATCAAAGTCTAAGGGTAGTTTTTTTTTTCCTTGTTTCAAATTCTTTCTTGCAGGATTCATTTGTTGGTGAGGCTACTAATGGTCAGCCTTCTAGGCGAAGTGATATTGAAATGGGACAGGTTCCCAGAAGCAACTCCGATATGGGAATGGAAGCATTTAATAAGCAGGTAACACAATGTGCAAGCTGTTTAAAGTTTTTAATCATTTGATTGTTTAAAATGCAAATTTTACCTTAGGTATTTTTTGGTTTGTGATTGTGTGGATATTTTTTGGATTTTATTTTAGAATAGAATTGAAGTTCAAATCTATTGCTAGTCTAAGTCTAAGGGGATAAAAGAATTGATAAGTTTTGCTGTTTCCATACTCATCCTTTTCTTTGTGTTATTTGTTCAATAATTCAGTTAATATCCTCCATGTACTGATATTCTTTGTTCCATTATTAGATCCATGAGGCTGATAAACAAGTCGATAAGCTGTCTGTGCTACTTCAAAAGCTAAAGGTATCTATTATCTTCATCATTTGTTACGTTTTAGCAGCAAGGTCTTGTTTATAAGTTATAACTAAGTGTACTTTCTGCAGGAAGCTAATGAGGAATCGAAGGCTGTTACAAAAGCATCTGCCATGAAAGGTGTGTTACGTTGCAATGTTATGTTTTAGTTGAAACCAATTGTTTTGAATTTGGTTGTATGAATTTCTGGTATAGCCATGTATGGTGTATTAACTTGGGTGTGTCAGAAAGTTACAGCCAGACACATGACAATTGTCTTGCTAGTAACATTCATGAGTTAAATAAATATTTATGCTTCACATTTATTTATTTTTTTAAAATATACTGCCTTTAATAATGATAGTGACATTAAATGCGAGTAAAATTTAAGTCAATACTCTTTAGAACGAGGAATCAAATATGTTACTAAAGCATCTGCTGTAAAAGGTGTGTTGCAAACTTGCAATGAAATGTTATGTTTTAGTTGAAATCATCTGTTTTGAATTTGTTTGTAAGATTTTATGGTATAGATGCTGACGATGTATTAACTTGGGTGTGTCAGGCTGTTACAGCCAGACATACACATGACAGTTGTCTTGCTAGTAACAATTATGAATTATATAAATATATATGCTTCATATTTACTTTTGCTAATATACTGCCTTTGGTTCCGATATTATATGCAAGTGAAACTTAATACTGTTTATAAGACTAATAAACCTGTAATATTACTTTCAGCTATCAAAAAGAGGATGGAGAAAGATATTGATGAAGTTGGAAAGATTGCACATGGTGTCAAAACAAAAATAGAGGCTATAAACAGAGATGTATGCTGAATATTGTTTTTAGCATATGTCAGTTTGTCATAAAAATATCAGACAAATATGAGAATTATTTAATCAGGATGTGTTACTGCGCAGAACCTAGCCAATAGACAAAAGCCTGGCTGTGAGAAGGGAACTGGTGTTGATAGAGCTAGGATGAATATGACAAAGTAAGTTGGTAGTATATATCTTTGTTATTGTACTTGATAAAATGACCCAGGGAAGCTGAAATATGTGCTATTCCTTGAAACATAGTGCCGTGGCTAAAAAATTCAAGGATCTCATGACGGAGTTCCAGGTAATTTTAACTCCTTTCACCATAAGTTTTTTTCTTTTGAAGTTCATGTCTATCTTCTCATAAATGTGTCATGTTTTAGACTCTTAGACAAAGAATACAAGATGAATATCGCGAGGTTGTAGAGAGAAGAGTTATTACAGGTTTGAACATTTCAGCCCCTTGGTAGAGTTAACTGTGTGTCAGTACTATAGTTTTTTTTATTATTATTTTAAACTTATCTATTTAGAAAGTATACACTGGATCATATTCACTTTTTGATTACTTGATTTGATTTTACAGTCACGGGAACTAGGCCAGATGATGAGGTGAGCTTAACTACTGAGTTTGTGACTTGAGATGACATATCCACTACATATGAATTTTGTTGTAATTGACCATTTAATGATTGTGTTAGACAATTGATCACCTCATAGAAACTGGAAACAGTGAGCAAATTTTCCAGAAAGCAATTCTAGAAGCTGGCCGAGGACAGGTACTTGGTTTTCTTATCTTTTCCTTTTAAAAATTTAACAACACATTATGTTATTTTTTTTCTATTTGTCTTCCTCTTTTACTTAAAACAGGGGGAGAGGAGACTTAGAAAACCATAATTCATGATTGATACATTTTATTTATTTTCTAACTTTATCTAGTATAGTGATTTTTTTTTCAAATTTTTATATTTTGGGGCAAGGGGCAAACACATCCGCAATTATGGTAGTTATTATTTTCCGTGCACTTGTTTGGAGAATTAAACTTTTCTTCATCTAAAAGTTTACCTAAGAAAATCTGGGTTTTCACAGGTTGTAAACACAGTAGAAGAAATTCAAGAGAGACATGATGCTGTAAAAGAAATTGAGAAAAAGCTTCTTGATTTACACCAGGTTTGCTTGCATGAAGATCTCAGTCTTAAATATCTAATTTAGATCATAACAGTGGCACACCTAATCCTACTTTCATTATTTCTCAGATTTACCTTGACATGGCAGTCTTAGTTGAAGCTCAAGGAGAAATTTTAGATAACATTGAAAGTCAGGTTTGTTCACTCTCACACACCCTCGATTTTGTGTTTGTATGCGTGTAAGTAGAATGCAGGGCATATTTAGTTTGATTTGCGTTAATGAGAGGCTTGTTCAGGTCAACAACGCAGTCGATCATGTCCAGAGAGGGACAACTGCACTTCAAAATGCTAAGAAACTTCAGAAGAATTCTCGAAAATGGATGTGCATTGCCATCATTATACTGTTGATAATAGTAGCTATCATAGTTGTGGGGGTCCTCAAACCTTGGAAGAGTAGCTAGGGCACTTGAGCCCTTTTGTATGTCCATATATAAGAGAGTTGACTTGGTTGGGAAACATATGCATGTGTGTCCGCAGGACAACATCTTAGAGCACAATTTTTAAGCCATTTGTTTTGTACGATTGATGCTTGTTTGTGTGGTGTGATTGATTTATGACTATACATTGGTGTGTCTCACGATATAAATTCATATTCTTTGTAGTCTTCAAGGCTCTCTTATTTCCTTGTACCATTCTAAAGCTCTCCTTGCTGTCATTTGCAAGTTGCAAATCTTGCATTCATGTTCTTCTTGGAAAGAAATTACCTTCTTCTCTTAATTTTTTCCCTCCTTATCATTTTTCTAAATTTACCATTTTGGGCCCAGGTTGTGGTGTGCTTTGGGCCAACACACCCTTAATGAAAGTCCATTATCACTATATAGTTCTCATTTTTGTTGGCCGGTTGTTTACCAAAAAAATAAGGTTGTCTGAACAATTTTATTTTTCCATGGAGCGTGGCTAGGGGACTTCGAATTTAGGTGTATATAAATTGGCCCATCCCCATGGAAATTAAGGCAATCTAACTTTTATATGCATTTAAAATATAAAGGCTCACTTTCTATTATCTTTGCTCCTTCAATTCACCAACTTTTATTTTTTGTTTGATAAGTTACTTTCTATTTTTTTAACCTTATATAATTCCAAATAGTTGTCATCTTATTTCTCACCCCAATTCCTTGTGTAGTGCCATGTTCTTGTACTTCATTATTTTCTTCTTGTTATTATAATGATAATGATATTATTTATAAGCTTTTTTATCATATTATTATTATTATCATCATCGGCATTGACATGCTTTTCAGGTGTACATTATTTTATTTTATCTTAATTTCAAAAGAAAATGCTTCTATTATAGTGCTAAGCTCTTGAACTTTTTTGCTTGATTATCTAATGAGTTATTTTTAAATATTCAAAGAGTTAATAATTTGAGAAAATTACAACGTGATTCTTTTACTATTTTTTTCCCTTTTCAGATGATTTGGAGTAAATTATAATGACATTTCTAGATTAACCAAAATTTATTATACACATATATAAAAAAAAGATTTGTTTATTTTAAGAGTAAGTCTATTTACTCTATTCAATAATTCATGTTTTATATTTATATTAAATTTCAACGATTTAATCGTTGAAATTAAGTTCTTGATATATAGGTCAAGTTTGTAAATTTTTAAAAAATTTAAAAATTATTTGATACTTTGTTTCATTAATTTAAATTGACGAATAATTATAAAAATATTTTATATGTTAATTTAAATTAATGAACAAATTATTAAATAGTTTTTAAATTTTTAAAAAATTTACAAACTTGACTTATGCATTAAAAATTTTAATTTTAATGGTTGAATCGTTAAAATTTGATGTAGAAAATAAGGTATTAAACAGAATAAGTGTGGATAGATTTCATTTTTTTAAGTTAAGGAACCTCTATATATACTTGTTTTTCTTATCCTGCTAGTGCCTAGCGGAGGAGAAAAAAATAAAATGTATAATATTGTGTATGGACTAAGACATGGGTTTAAAGGTAGTCTGTACTTATAAGATGCTTGGATGAGTGAGGGAGCGAGAGGGGTTATGTTTGGATTTTGGAGAGAGGGGAGTGGGATGGGCCTGTAAAGAAACTTGCCCCAGAAAGTGGGGGTGAATAGGACGAGGAATCTTCGATATATAATATTATGTGATATAAAAATTTAAAAAAAAACTTTAAATTTGGAAAATATTATGATAAAAAAAATTTAAATTTTTCATTAAACTATTTTTGTTATTATTATAAATATTAAAAAAAAAAAAATCTTATACAACAACAAAACTAGTAGGCGAGGTTGGCTACATGAGGTACAAGACGTTACTAGATTAAGTCAAAAATCGAATTTTCATCGATTATATTTATCATGGTATCTTTCTTGACTACTTCCTCCATTGCTTTTTTTTTTTTTTGGTCCCCCTCTCCTCTTTACATGGTTAGGATTTCTGATGGCTTATTTATTTATTTATTTTTATTTACATGTTTATCTTTTTCCAATCAATGACACACGAATCTCGTTTCATATAATATATAATTACTTTGTGTCTTGATCTTTCTTGTGAGACCACACATCCATCTTAACATTCTCATTTCTGTAGTCTCACCTTTCTCTTATGTTGCCCTTCAAAGTTTAACATACATTACTATGTAGTATAATTAGACGCATAACAATATGATAAGAAGTTTTCTTATACAATCTACTTATTTCTTTTCACTTTTTTTTTTAATGTGCTTATCCAAACAAGGAAAGAAAACTTTCTTCATTTTTTGACTTATTTTTTTCTAAGCCTTGTTTAGATAACTTCATATTTATATAAAAAAAAACAAAAAACAAAAAGTAAAATGAATCAAAGTTCTCACATAAGTTAAAGTTAACTTGTGTATTTAACTTCTATAAAAACTCTTTTCATTTAACTTTTCAAAAACTAAGGAACATAAGTTAATTTTTAACTTATATAGAAAACTCAATATATTTTATCTTATTTTCTTCTCCTTTAAGTATTTACTAGTGTATTAACTCGCATAGGTGACATTTACGTCTTTGTTCTATTCAAACAATACATCTTTATTATAATATTAGCTTATATTTGCTCTATTTTTAAAACTCGTTTTTTTCCTTCTTATTTCTCTATTGTTTCATTTTTCACCCAGAGTGTTAGGCAGTAGCTTGTAAGCTTGAAAAGGTTAAAATTTAGATATTTAGAAAATAAAAACTTAAATTATTATCATTTTTACTTGATATATATATATTTTTATCTCTGCCAAGATTAAACACAACTGAAATTGGTGCCTCAATTTTTTACCATGCGTGTATGAAACCTACTTATAACCTTGCAAATTCATTATACTTTCGACTTATCTTCTTGTCTTCCACTGTTTCATCTCAAGAATGATGAGATGTATTTGAACATCAAAGTTTTAACTTTTGTACATGAACATGTATATATGTGCCTATTTTTTTAATTATTATGTTTTTAATCTTTTTGACATACATGCATCTTATAAATATTTCATAAAAATCAAAAGTACAACAAATGCCCTAAAATTACTGTACCAAAAACAGTACTTGTAGGATAATGGCTATATCATATTATATGTTGAAGTATGAATAATTTAAATTAATAGTAGAGAAATCTGAAATTCATTCCGTTGATTAAAAGAACTATGAGTATTGTGTAGATTAAAAGTGAGTATCGATCCTCTTGTCTCAACTACTTATGATCAATTTTTACTTGTTAAGAAAATTGTCCTCCCCATTATTATCTGTTAACTATGCATAAAGTGCTAAAGTGAATAACATTTAGTTCATATAACCCACTTCCATCACATGAATACGATTATTCTGAAGATATATATTTTGGAAAGTTATTTTAAGGTGCCTTTTCTATTAGCTCTCTTGATAGAAGTAATCAGTTTAAGCATCCAGTTTTTATTTTTTTTAACAGATTTATGAAAGAACTTTAAAAACCTTTATTCCTAGAAAAATGTAACTAACACAAGTCTTTCTTAATTATTTCCCATCAAATTTGGATAATCGTCTCACCTATTTATATTTGTGGATATAATTTATGTTAGTATCATTTGTATGTTTGCTCAAGTTGCTTGGGCAAAATCATGTAGTGATTGCGTCAATTGCAAAAGGAATTGTTCGATTACTAGGCAACCATTTACTATTCAGACAACTAATCATTTTGTCTTTTTAAAATGGCATTATGTAATGAACAGGTGACAAACGCAACTGATCATGTGAGACAGGGTAACGACGCTCGGCAAACAGCAAAAAGCTTGCAAAAGAAGTCAAGGAAATGCATGATGATTTCCATTATGTTGTTCCTGATCATTGCCATCATTATCGTGCTCTCTGTTTGGAAACCATGGAAAAAGTGACCACAAAAGGAAAATGGTTTACATACAAAGAAACAAACATATAGATATTTCATTTTTTTTTCCCAAATGCTTGAAAATTTTCGGTTGTTGCAGTAGCGTGACTTTGATTCTAGTACTTTCTCTTTGTTAAATTGGCTTTTAGTGTCCATTTGCACGGCTAATGCATAATAATAATTTGTCCACTATGTTTTTACTCTCTGAATCATGAAATGAAAGGATGCCATTTTTTTTATCCTATAGCTATCATATACTTGCGAGCTTTTTTTATCCATGCCATTTTTGGAGAATGCTACTCACATTTCCCTTCCTAATACATCACTCTGATTAGACAGCTATCAAACTTAAATCAACCTATAACTACCGATGTTAAAGGAATTGTAACAGAAATCGTTATTAACTACAGGTAGTTTGGTAGGTGGTTGAGTATATTGGCTATGTTTGCAAGTTGCACAATTATATATAATTGAGGTGGTGTGAGAAATATGACTAGCATTATTCTTCTTCATGTGCATGCAAATGATTGATGATTTAAGGAGAATTAAAGCACGGGTAATGCATTCCAAAGTCAGGTATGCAAATGTGAGGTAAGCATGAATTCTGCCAAATTAGTCATTGTATAAACAGAAATGGTTGAGAATGATCAGGTTGAATATATGCCAAAAGCTCATACTACATACTACATAGACAGTGTCAGCATAAAAACTCACAAGTCACTAGTTGATGGAAGAAATTTTTCATTTACTGTTTAGAAACACTTGTGCTCAGTGGTGGAACTTCTTTAGGGCAGAGGGGGAAAGCAAGCAAGAAAGCAAGGGGATTTGCTGCGTTATACCACCATTGCTCCTTACTTGTCTGGTCTTTCATGTTGATGTAAACTAGTTATGTTAAAGTATACACAATCATTGTCAACAGAGGTACCTGATGTCACATATAGAATAGCCTTGTAGGTTTGAATAAGCTAGCTTGGAGACAACTACAGAGCTAGAACAACAGATAAGACAAAACTTAAACATAGTACAATAGGTATTGTTAATGTTGTTTTTCGATTAAAATTAGAGTTTCAAATTGGTAATACTCATTGACATTTAATGAAATCTTTTATTATGCATATTACTGTGGGTAAACTTCAATTCTAATTGGAAAACACCACCAGCACCATCTATAATACAGCATCATTTGCATGTTAGTTTTATCCTATGATAATTATCCCCTACTTTCATACTGGCTGTTTCTTTTCTATAGTTGCTATGTCTATAAGACTAACTTAAGAACTTCCCAAGGACACCATATTTCTGTCATTGAAAATTGAAAGTTTTTTCATCTTTGAAATCTTTGTAGCTTATTAGTTACAGTAGAAACCCCCTTCAATGTTTGTTTCTGAAGTAAACAAATAGGGGTGTACACACCCTTAAATTTAAGTAGATAAAGTTCATGATGCACTTTACATTAAACAATAGTGGAAAATCCTTACCCATTCTAGAGACGAGCTAAATTTAAAAGAGCCTTATCCCGTAGATACATAGCAAACTTTGATTAGTTATCAAAACAAGAAGAAATGTATATGTTGTTATGACTTCTAAAGCTGAGAATTGTAAAATGTCTTAAAATTGAACCTGCCTTCTTCTAACTGTTAGTTATTTTTCTTTTATGTACTTACCCATCCAGAGCTCATCATCCAGTTCCCCAGAACAGATAGTCATGTTCCACACTGCGTCTACTTTGGTCGTGTAATATCACATTTGTCCTCATTAATTCTTAGAATACTTTGAAATTTTGACAGCCTTACCACCTATTGTCTCCATAGCTGCAATAGCATCAGACAATTGAGATTTTTTGTTAGCAGAGCATCTAGACCCCGTGGAAAACAAATCAGGCCATGAAAGTTCTCAAGGCACAAAGAATAGTTGGCAGAGTTTCACAATTCACAACAATCTTACTTATCCTCATTCCTCACAGTGATTTGAGCGGCCATTTAGGTATTGCATGTTCCTAACCCAGAAGGTAAGAAAATTGAACCCCAGTAACCACAGGGCTTTGGAGTCATGGTCTATCCTTGAGTTAGATATTTTCATATAGCTAAATAACTAAAGGCATATATACAGGAAATTGACGAAAATTTGTCAACTCCAAGCTGCTATTACCCACCGGCCACCAAATTTCAATTGTCTATTCTTATCCTTTGAATATTGCCTCCAGCTATATAGCAACATATTTCACTTGCAATTTTTTTTTTATTGAAATTCACCCTTCAAATATAATATATCTCAAATGAATAGCAGAAACCACAGTTTTTTCCATTAGCAGTTTTTTCCATTAGGCATTTCGCCTGGGAGCAAAAATATTTAAGTTTTCAGAATTTCATAACTTTACTTGACAATACGCTAAGATATGCAAGCAGATAATTCTGTTATGTATAGCCACTTGAAAAACTCTTATCATTCAAATCAATCTGGATCAAGGAAATTTTCTTGGCATCTTGGGGTCATTATGACTTCCTAGGTTGGATTCATTTGGATTTTTCACAGTACAAAGTTCGTTTGCTACATCTAGCAATTGAAGCTACATGAATAGCACTATTTCATGACCGTAGTGTGAGTATCATCAAACTATCAATACCATAAAAGCCATGTTAGCAGATATTCCTTTTACATGATACGGGACTAGAAGATAAGTAGATAACAAGCAACTTCGTACAGTGATATGCCAAACATCAACCAATCAATATCAAATATTTGAATTTACTACCATTAAAATCATAAAGATCCACAATTTCTCTAAATAACAACGGAGCAACAAAAGCTTGATGGTCGACATCTGAAGAAGATGAAATACCTGCAACTCAGCACAGCAAGAGCAATCCAACATAGCATGAACAAACTTGAGACATCTAATATGTCTGGATTTATGACTGCGTGGCTCAAAAATTCCCGTTTGCTAAAGAGAAATGTGATTTTGCCAAAAATTGTTCAACATTAACTAAACCAAGAAAAAGAAAAATATATGCATTAATATTATAAAGGATAAACCAAGAAAAAAAAATTAATATATGCATTAACATTATAAAGGATTTTTACCACGCCATCTTATCACAAATCATTGGATTTGGATTCTCTCATGTGACATTTTGTGTAGTGAAATCTCAACTCATAATTAAAAATAAGAGAGTAAATTTAAATAATACTACCTCTATTCCTAATTAAAGCAACAAATTGATTTTTTCTTTTGTCTTAATTATAAGTAACAATCATTAGTTTTTAAAGTTACTCAAGATTAAATTTCTTTTATACCCTTCATTTATTGTTAAATTTATTTCCAATGCATTCACTAATAACTAACATTAAATATGACAGCTACTTAAAATAAAGGATATATTTGGAATAAAACTTGAATTTATGATAAAATTAATTAAAAGTAACCATATTAATTACTTGTCTTAATTTTGATGATTTGTCATGTGTTGTTTATAATTAGAACTAAAAGTAGTAATAAAAAAAATGCATGACGTTTTGATGGTAAAGATTTTCATTTAAGAGAATCCAAGGGAAAATCACACATGAGAGAATCATAAATGATTTACCACATAATCATAGATGATAAGTTTGTTATCTTTTACGGTATTTCAAATTTCATATCAACCATAGTTTCTAAGCCTATGTTTTGTAGAGGTGATTTAATAGGAAGGGGAATGGATTAGAGTGGATTAGAGCAAAGTTGTCCAACTCTCGAGTTAACTAGTAAACTCTATACTAAACTCTTTTTTAAGTAAACTCTTTATACTCATGTAAATTCTTATAAACTCTCAAGTCAAGAAATGAGTTAGCGAGTTTGAAATCAAATGTAACTTTTGCTCCTATTGACTTTATAGTGTTGGTATTTTACTATGACTTAAATGATTTGAAGAAACCAACTCCTTTTATAAATAATTTCACTTTAGGAACTGTTTTTGTGAAATTATATATAATTTGATCATTTACATAGTTTAATCATATCCAATACTACTGTACTATAACACTAATATCGTAGTTTAGTACTTTTGACTTTTAATGGAGTTGAAATGTTGAATTCTTGTTGTATTAAGTGCATAGTTTTAAAAACCGGATCGGTCATCAAACCGGTTAGGGTACTAGGTCAGTGGGTCAATGGTTGAACCGGTGGGTCACTAATTAAACCGCATGACTCGATTTTTATTAATTTTTTTTTAAATATTCATGTTAAATATATTTTATACTTATAAATTTCAATAAATTCATATCTTATTTTAAATTTCAGTTTTCATCTTATTTAAAATTATCTTTATTTTTATTTTGTATAAAGAAATACATAAAAAAAATTACATGTTAAACTGTATATTAATACAAATTAAAAATATAAATAATATGTATATATATAATATGCTTACAATTGATATTACAAAATAATATATGTAATATCTACATAAATATTATATTATTAAATATATAATTTAGAATTGATAATATATTATAAAAGTTATTTAAGTTGCATATATTATAGACAAATATATTAGAATAAGTAATTATTCTTATGCTTAATAAGACTCTTTGCTCTTCCATTAACAAATTTAATTTTCATTGTTATTTTTGTGGTTTGTGGTCCTTTAAAAAAAATTTAAAAAAAAATTTGTGGTTGAATCGGTTTGACCCACCAGTTCACTGGTCGAACCGAAAAATTGACCGGTTCAATCCGGTTTGAAACGAGTCAAATGCATAACCGATCCAACTTAAGATTCGGACCGGCTGGACCACCGGTTCAACCGGTCCGATCGGCCGGTCCGATCCGAGTTTTTAAACACTGATTAAGTGTATTATGATATGCATATATGTCATCACTAGGTTTTTTAATGTTATTTTTCTAATAAGTAAACTCTTACGAGCTTAAGGTTCAGTGTTTAGGATCTACAAGTTTACCAGTTGAGTCTATAAAAGTTTCACGAGTTTACGTAAAATCTCAAGTTTGACAACCTTGGATGATAGTAGATTTGGAAAAAATATGTGTTTGATAAAAGGTATTTAAGGAGAATTGTGAGGAATCAGAAGTGGTTCCACATTATTTTTAATACCCTCTCCAATGAGGGGATTTCTTGTGGAATTTAGGAGATATCTAAAATACAACATGTTAAAAAATAATAATTCAAATCATATTATATTATAAAGAGAGGATAAAATAGTGATAGTAAATATCAATTTCATTTTATTTCTCACCTAATTTCATTCTACCAAACAACTACAAATTTCCCTCTATTTCATTTCCCTCTATTTCATTCTATTTCTTACATATTTCCTATCAAATCAATTCTCACCTATTCTGTCTCATTCTCTTCTATTCCTCCTCTCCTCCAAACAAAGCATAAAGGATGGCATAGATTGACAGCATAAAAACTTTTATACTAGCGATACATGTCTATTAAAAAAAAAAAAACTCTTTACCTAGGGCTGAAAATTTGATACTAAATTTTATTACAAACTTATATATAAGAAACAAATAATCAAACAAAACTTCGCTACAAATGGACTTTTAACCAAACCCAATTCCGCAAAATAAAGATAATACGTAAATTTGCAAAAGCTAACCCAAAATTTCACGCTTCAGGGTTCTCTGCTGAACTTGCTTCCGCTTACGAACCTCTCCTTTTTTTGATGATAAAATCGTTCATATGATGCTAATTCACATGAAAACAATCAAAACGTCATAAACCCAAAGACGAAACAGAACATGAAACTCATTTTACAGCCATGTGCGTGTCTCGAAGCAGTAAATCAATTAGATCTAGTTCGATTTATGGATTAATAATAGAAAGTAAAGTAAATATCGTAGAATCCATAGGAAGGGAAGCATTGAATGTGATATCGAAAATTCAGAATCTGAAAAAAGAAAAAGAGGAATAGAAAGCGAGAGGAAAAAAATAAGGGAGACACCTTAATCGGCGAATAAGCTGCGAAGTTGTTTGATCTACTCGGATCGCCCTTGCGTTTGTGATTTGCGATTAACAGAGAAAGAGACAGTGGATGTTGTCGTGTCTTGACAAGGAAAGAGAAAGAGACAAAAGAGTTGTGTGTTCATGCTTTTTTCTTTTTTCTTTTTAAGTATAAATTAAAAACTCTGCCTCACAATAACTAGTTCAGTTTTAGTATTTGAAATGTCTCAACATGGCTTTTTATGTAATATTAATTAATTTCTATATATTTTTATTATAAGAAATTATTTAAAAAAATCACATATTAAAAAATTAATTATATATATTAAATTTTATTAATTTTATAATATATTTTTTTAAAATTATAGTTATTATAAAAAATATATAATTGAAAAGTCATATATTAGAAAAGAAATATTTTAAAAAAGATATTATTGTGAGACAAAGAGAATATTTTTTTTTTGAAGTAAAATTTATCTCTCAATAAAACCTTTTCATACACTTTACTTTTTCTTAACATATTTTATCTTGTTTGAGAAAGGTAATTTTTGTAATTTTTATGGTTAAAAAATAGTTATTATTGATAGTGTATCCACATATTTTATGGATAAAAATATTTATTTTGTATTATAGTTAACTTCATCTTGATTTGTAATAAATAAAGTTTCAATAGATAATAGACTAATTTTTTTTATGAACATGATATACAAAGTGTTTCAAACTTGATAATTAAAAACTAATCTTTATTTGTAAGATCTGTGCCTTTTTTTTATTGTTCCTCCACAATCATTTTCTTCTATCTTTCCCTTCCCACTTACTCTTTATAATTGTTGAACCTCATTTACCCCAATTCTTGAATTCACATAGGTGTTGGACAGTAGAGGAGCTAGAAAGCTGGAAGCCCGAAGTTGGTTTGCATTGTCATTCTCTTTTTCTTCTTCTCTTCCCTGTGAGCTCAAAATCAGAATTCTTCTCCCTCTAAGGTAGGAAAAGCTAGAATATTGGGTTGTTGATTGAATTGAAACTTAATATTAGTTGGATTTCTAAAAATTTGAGCTTTGGGGGTGAATTTGAAGTTGGTTGCATGTTGAAAGCTGAGGCTTTGAATGTCTTGACAAAAGATTTAACGTTGATGATTTTCTTTGAATTTGGTTGCATGCATCTTGAATTTATGGTGTTTTCTGGGATGTATAAACAAAATGAGTAGAGATTATGAAGGTAGATCATGTTTAGGGGTAAAAATGGATGGATTATAGGTGAAAAAAGAAAGGGGAAGCCATGAAAGTATAGAAAGCTCTACACTCAGGGCTAGAGCGCTGAACTAGCACTACAACTATGAGAGAAAATAGGGAGGTCGAGATCTGGCGTTGTAACTCCAGGTTGGATGTTGTAGCCCTAGGAGGAATTGATTTGGATTTCAAAATCCCGCACTGTAATTCCAAGTTGGGCGCTACAACTTTAGGAGAAAACGAAGTTGGCAAAAAGTTGGAGCTGGAGCGTTGTAGCACCAAGGGTAGATGACCGAATTTGATTTTGAGGTCTTCATATGACTTTTTAAGTAAGCAAAGGTCAAGCTGTCAAGATTTAGGCTAATTGTTGCAGTTTTTACAATTTCTAACATGGTAGATGAGGGAATTAGAACCTGAGTTCTTCATGAAAGTTGTAGAAAATCTTCTTGTCTTTCATATGAGATAAGGATGAGAGTGATTGGAGTAGTAGAACTCCCCATGGGTTATTTTATGTGAAGGTTGTCAGTGTAGGAATAAGTGATTTTGATAAATTGCATGTGATACATGTTGTATGATGGGTGAAATTGGTGAACATGAATAGAATGCTTGTGTCTATTGCATGTTGTGTGTTATAGGATGATGATAATGAGCATTGATATGCTACCCTTGTGTACTTGAAATGGTGATGAGGATTAATATGCTTTATATGATTGATATGCTGTATTTGAATTAATTATGGAGCATTGATATGCTATTATTGTATGAATTGTTAAACATTGATATGTTGTTCTTGGTTGAGATGTTAAGCATTAGTATGTTGTACATGACTGGTGCTATTGATCTCTATATGCATTGATTGAATGTAATGTATATAGTAGATGGATGGTGAAGTGTGGATGTTGAGAATGCGGTGTTGCATTATAACATGATGGCTAACTTAGGATTTGAGAAAAGAAAGTTATTTTGAAAATTGAAGATCCCACATAGGGTATCTTGGAGTGTTGTTGGGGTAGGCCATTGTTTTAAAACCCTCCTTGAGTAGGTGTGTCTTTTGGAGTAGGTTTTGAAGTGTGTTGAGTCTCCTCCAAATCCTTAGTCAGTGGTTGAGTAAGGTAGGAGGTCGAGGGCTACAACCCTTAACCAAGTACCTGGAAAGGTTGCGTGATTCCTTGAGAATAATTAGTGGGCGAATTTCATATGTGACTTAGTAATGCATGTCAAGGTCGTCGTAAGCCTATACTTAGTTGTACTACTCCTGACAGTAGAACTGGACTTTTTTAGTGTAAGTGATGAGACCCGAAAAACTAGAGGAGGGATTGATATCCCATTTTGTTGTGATCAAGCCGACACTTTGGTCGTGAGAATGATTGGGTTGGTTTAGTAGGGTGAAAATCACTTAAATTGCTCATGTTGTTAGGAGATCTTCATAGGTGAATGCGTGACGACACATTGGTCGAGGTGTTTGCATATGATGTATGTTGAGATGTGTTCATGTGCATTTGATATCTTTTGGGACATGATTGGGTGAAGTATATGCTTGCTTGGAATGTGATTAGTTTTCATAAATGATATTTGGTGTGTTGTTGTATATTATAGACTTGTTTCTATATGTATATGTTTTTGAACTCTAACTTACCCTTTATGTTTTCATGATGATTTGGACTGCGATGACCATACATTTTATAGAAACAAATTAGGGCTAGGCTTGAGGAACTGATGCAGTCAGGTGTTATGACTTTTTAATGGCGATACTACTGATGTACCTTGTATAGATGTGCTTGACCGACACTAGGATGTAAGATTATTTTGAGATGACTGTATACATACATACATACATATATATATATATATCCTATTTATATTAGTTTAGCTATTTTATTTATATACTTATGTTAATTATATGTATGGTATATATTTTTCATTAATCATGTACATTCTAGTAACTTAATTTCAGTTGCTAGTAATGAGTTACTAGTAATAATGATTCCACGTAATGTAGCGACTATGATGGGTAGTTACATTATTTGTAGAGTGTGACTTTCATTGACCAAATATTATTTTAAGGTAGTGTTTGTTTCCGGGAGAGTACTGTACACGAGCAAAGAAAGGCGTGGAAAATTTCCGTTTGTTTTCCCTGATTTAGAACGAAAGAAAGGCGAAGAAAAAAGAAGAGAAGCACTGTTACTCTCCTCACACAAAAGAGAAAAAAAGAGGTAAAAGACATGTAAGATTTGTGAAAATCCAAAAATACCCCTACCTCATACATGCAAAAACAACAGAAAAACGAAACATAATCAATTATGCTGTATATATATAGCATAATCGATTTCGATTATGCTGTATATATACATACAGCATAATCGATTATGTTATATATATATATAATAATCGATTATGTTATATATAACATAATCGACTATGTTATATATATATATATATAACGTAATCGATTATATATATAAAATATTAA